GCATGTTCCACAAAAATGATCTGACATGGAAGTAATAAATCCAAATTTTCCAGTAAATCCAGGTATACAATATGCCTAACAATTGTCAAATAAAACAAAAGGTAATCCATCAAGTTAATAATTGGCAGAATGAAAGTGAGCAAATGACGTTTTTCATCAAATCATTGTTTTTAAACAAAAAAAAACCTTTGAAGTATCATTTAAATCATCAGGTAACCTTCGAATGGTGTGATATCTGGATTTAATATTATCCAATAACTCTTTATATGGTATAAATTTTTTCTCATTCCATTTGTTAGCTTTTAATTGGAATAAACAAAATAAAGGATTATCAATAATGTATCTTTTATTGAAAATAAGATTTACATATATATATATATATATATATATCGCCTTACCATTAAATGGCATATATTCAATGAACCTTACATAAATAGGCTTGTTTCGCGTCAACTCTATAAAATCTAATACTTCATTTTCATTTATTCCTCTTATAACCACCGAATTGATTTTTAAAGGTTTAAGGCCCAATTCAATAGCTTGATCAATTGTTTCCAAAACTCTTTCAAGGCCTTTATTTTTCAAATTAAAAGTTTATTTTTTCCCCTAATCAGTATATAACTTCTTTATATAGATATAGGATTTGTTTACCTTTTCTACGTGTGATCAATTGAAATTTGAATGGATCCAAAGTATCTAAACTAAGATTCAACAGATTCAATCCATTCTCAACAAGTTCGGGCAATTTCCGTTTCAATGCTATTCCATTAGAAGTCATAGCGATCGTCTGTAAACCGTGTGATTTTAACCTCCCCAATTCGCCTAATAGTATATATATATATATATATATATATATATATACACACACACATATATACACACATACATATATATATGTGAACATGTTTATATAAATTTAAACATAAAAACAAACAAAATATCTCATACCAACTAATTCAACAATGTCACTTCTTACAGTAGGTTCACCGCCTGTAAGCCTGATCTTATTAACGCCTTGGGAGACAAATATTTTTGCAATTCGTATGATTTCCTCGGTAGTTAGAAGTTTATTGGAAGGTGTAAGGTCAACACCATCAGTTGGCATACAATAAGTACCTATTGTCAAAATAGTAAATTAGACAATTATAGACGATTATTAATCGAAAAAATTATTTCAACTTACATCTTAAATTACATCGCTCTGTTATTGAAATTCGAAGGTATGTGTGTCTTCGTTCAAAACGATCGGTCAATGAATTGCCAAAAGGTCTATTTTTATCAAGTTCTGCGATTTTTGCCTTTACAATCAATATAAAATGACCGTTTATTATTATTATTATTATTATTATTATTAAATAAATAACAAGAATTTACTTTTTAGAAAAAAAAAGAGTTTATGATATTAATACTTGTATACGAAGTTTGGAATTTTGAATGTATGATGAATGTTTAGAATTTTCAGTTTGTTGTTGTGTAGTAGTAGTAGTGGTAATGGTAGTGGTAGTAGTATTAGTATTAGTAGTAGTAGTAGTAAATGTTTTAAAAATTTTGATATTATTTAAATTCGAATTTCTAATAAAGATTTTTTTAATAATGAAATTTGAATGTTTCATATTTCTAAAGCTGGGAAATTTTTTTTACGAAATGTTTATTTGTTTAAAGAAAAAAAAAATCTATATGTAGTGACAAAAGATAAGAGAAGATATACAATCAGATAATTTAATTAGTTAATCATGAATAGATAAGATAAAATAATAAAATAACATTGTATTCAAAAATTGGCGCTTAATAATAAACAATATTTAAATAATAATAATAATAAACAACTGGTTACGCAAGAATGCATTATTTAATCAATACATTATCTTACCAAAATATTTGGATGTAAAAGAATTTCAATTTATTAATCACAAAATAAAAGCTAATCTCACACAGAATTTGGTTATCGTAATGATACTGATTAAACTTCGAAATTTTTAGCGCAAGTTATTTTTTTTTATTATTAGATTTTGTTTTTTCACACATCGCATCCATCAAATATGTGTTTTTCTCCGCACACTGGTAATGATTCTGGGAATTCGTAATCATCATGTTTCTCTGTACTACCACGCAAAGATAAGTATGGACACTTTTCTACCACTCACTACCTTGATGAATTGATTTCGCTCTCGGATAACTCAGAGATGTAAATGTTTTAAATGGAGCCACTTGACTTGTCGAGGTTCAGAACAGGTTCATAGTTATCATCGATCAGTCGTTCAGACATACGAGGTAAAATTTATTGTAACTAAGTCACGTGTACGTTCCAATTTGACATCCATCCAATTGAAGAATTCATATTAATCTTTTGAGCAGATTCTTGGAGAAATGGTTTATAATATTTGGATTTGAGTATCAACTAGACTTGAAATGATACTTGTATTATAATAACTTGCTTAATTTTATCCATTCTGTTTCTTCAATCTAAAAGTTATTTTGCGCAAATTTACTATCGCTAGATCAAATATCCTTGACTCATTTTGTATCCTTTTGTATAAATAATACCAATGTAAGATTTCTTTCGTGTTATGTACTGACCTCTGAGATTTGCTTATTCAAAAGATGAATCGGAGATTCGAGTCTCCACCTCTTACTCTCCACTTCTTCCGTATCGGTCCATTCCGTTCCTCGCTTTGATTATTATCATGGCCAGGTTCTGCAGGAGCAAATATATCTTCATGGCCTTCTGATTTATTTGACTTCGAATTTGAAGAATGAGAATGTGGTGTATTTCGCTTAATCGAAACCTCAGATTTCGATTTTGGTAGATACTTTGAACCCGGGGAAATCTCATCCAATCCTAGAACCTTCATAAATTCGCAACATTTATTACTTTCTGGCTCCAGTAAAGCTCTTGCTGAACGCAAGTCTGTGTGTATTTTACACTTTCTATACTTTTATGCGAAATTTCACTTGGTTGGATATTTCTCCAAGAATTTCAAGGTCATATCCAAAGCTATTGAGTTATGAACTGGCAATAGGCTTTTGTTTAGGACAGAATGGTCAATGCAAACAGACTCGCATGTGAAAGATGCCCTCGGCTCGTTACAAACTCGATGGAAAAATTTTGATCCCGTCTTTTTTGAGATGGAAGAAAAAAACACGAAAGAAATCTCTGATTAATAATAGTTTGTTATAAAATTAATTAAACTCTATATAGTATATATATATATATAAGTGTTTAAATGAATACAAACTGCATCATCAATATCAAGTAAATTTGCCGAGGTTGTAAGTTTTTGCATAAAAAACGATGATTTCCTAAAAATTATATATAGTAACTGTATTAATCCCAAAGTAGCGAGTAAACTAAAGAGTCTTTAATACGAGAAAACAAAAGAAAGACAACTGATTGAAAGGAATTTGAATCAAGTCTACCTTTATACAAGTCAGATATTACGATGTTGCAAGTCTCAGCGAGAGAAGTTGAAGTTCGAGAATACGGAATCAGTAAAGATAAAATAGAAGAGTTTTTTGCTCACCATGAAAGAAATTTTCTCCTTTAATTTCAACGGGGCTACTCCTAATTTAGACTTTACAAACGAAAAGTGATCATCCAAAAAAATCAAATGTCGTCAGCGGAGGGAGGGATCTGCAACTGGGTTTGATAAAATTTTGACCCCCTGTGAAAGGCATTAAAAACTAATAATTAATGTGTATCAATGATAAAATCCTTTGGTTGGAATGACCTAGTCTATATTTATGCCAGTATAACTTCAAGGCAAAGAATATTACACACACACACATATATAGGTAACTTTGTTTATCATGTTAAAGAAAAGTTTTAAAAAACCTTCACGTGACCGATCACATTTATTATCCAGAAGATTAATATTGGAGACAATATAATGAAATCGTTTGGAATTTTTATTGAAAACTATGTTAACGTCGATGTACCTACCTGGTCTGATTTATGATTTGTAGGTTAAATTTAATTATAAGCAAATTTACTATTTACTATTTGTACATATTAATATGGAATAATAGTCTTTATTGTTGGCACACTGCAATTTTTTGTGACATTATATTCACTTTGATTTTGTTACAGCATGCCATTATAACATAATTATTGATTTAAAATGTTTGAATAATAATAATATAAATAAATAAATAATTTAATTTAATTCACTAATAATAATATCTACTAATAAATACATTTAATTTACTACTAATAAATTACAAAAATATTAATTAGTTAATTATTATGTGAAAATTTCATCTCCTTAATTTTCCAATAGGTATTTCGTCATCACTCTCTATAATTTGCTCTTTTTCGTTATTAAGCCTTTTGTCTTTTGTTGTGTTTTCTTCTTCACCACCATCAGTAACAATCCTATTCTTACTATTAGCTTTTTCTGAATCTGAATCTGAATCTGAATCTGAATCTGAATCTGAATCTGAATCTGAATAAGCTGCTAAAGCTTCATCAAACACTGAATCAAAAAAATCATCAACAATACTAACGCCATTATTCTCACCGTTTAGATTTTTTAAAGATAATATTTGTCCTAATGGTTTGTCATCTTCATCCTCTTCTTCCCTCGCCGCCTTTTCACCAGATTGTTTTGACAGTGATTTTTTAGATTTATTTTTTCGTTGATATGATTTTGATCTTTCTTTATCGTTATTGAATTTTTTGTCATCATGTGATGGGGTTTTTGTAGAAAATTTATGGTGTAATTCGGGGGCACTATTTTTATTTTTAGATGATGATGAATTGGAATTGGAAATACTCAACGAATCTTTTCCGTCTCGATGATCGCTTCCACTGCTTTTTATGTTTCGTGACCTGGCCGAGGTTAGGTTCTGATGATCAACTTTTGATAGTCTGTTAGAATGACTTCTAGAAGATCTATTACTGTGACTACTGTGACGATTGCTGCTGCTGTTGTTGTTGGATGTAAACAACGATGAATCTTTATCAACTTCGATAACAACAGAAGAAGAGGCTGGTACAAATTCATGATTATCTGAACCTAAACTTAATCTTGGTGACACAGATTTTGTGTTTACAATTCCACCTTCATCAACATATGATTCTAGTTGTTTAATTTTGGATTCTCGGTGAGTTTTATTATGTTTTGAAAGTCTACTTGATTTGTCGATACTAATTCCACTACTACGATTAATGCTATTACTACTATTGATATTATTATCATCGTCTAGATTTATCAAAGTGTTTTTTGGTCTATGATTATCATTATTGTCGTCATCTTGATTATCGCCTGAATCTAAAAGTGAATTAGGAGAAAATATTGAATCTTTTTTCCCAGGCTTATCTCTTGTATGGGAATCGCCGCTTTCACTTGATTTATTTCTTTTATAAACCAGGTAAAGAGAACCCACTAATGCCAGACCTAAAATACAACCACCTATTATAACGGAATATTTTGGCCAAGTACCCATTGGACCCAGTGAAATTTTATCAGAATTCTGATTTTCATTTAATGAAGCCAAATCTTGACAAACAGCCCTTTGTTCACATCTATCACCAAATATAGTGACATTTACATCAGGTAATTGCATATTAGTTGTACCATTGTTACTTTCTTGTGGGAATTTTACTAGGATTTGTATAAAGAAAATTTCCTTGTCTCTTGATTCACACTCATAAACAGGTTCTAACGTGCCAGTTTTTACAGTTTTTTGACAATGAACAAATGAAAGAGGAGATGATGGATTGTCTTGTACTATATATTTTGGAGGAAGTCCAATTTGAGCTATATATATATTATTGTTTTTTTTTGAGCTTACATGAGATGCTGTAAGGTTTAACAAAAATAAATCGGGAGGTTGTTTTAATTCAGACGATAATGAGTAGCAACATGATCCCTCTAAAAAAGTATATTATTGTTTATAAATAAAATAAAATAAATATTGTTAATATAATAGTATAGCCATTAAATTCTATTTTAACATAAAATAAAGAATCTTTTAGTATGAACAGTAAAGATCATAATAATTTACAAATACAAACTTACGTGCATCAACAGCTTTGAATAATATTATAAGCAGAGAAACAATTATTAAAATATTTGATGTTAAATTATTCATTTAATGTATATATAAGAAAGATCGCGTGTACAACTTTAAGAAATAAAATTAATGAATTTGTTTAATATTATTATTATAATACAAGATAATAATAAATGTGCATTTTTGGCATCATTAAAAAAACCACTTTCAAAAAACACTTATTATTTATGCGTTAAAATTTAATGTTTATGGTGTAAATAGTAGTACGTAATTTATAGTGACTAATTAAAAAAACCGGCTAGTGTTCACGATTTTTAAAACAGCTATTAATATAGGCATGTGACTAATTTGGTAGTATAATAATAATAATTTTTGTCGACCAATCTATGCCCCAAAAATAAAAATAACAAACATTTTTATTAGTCAGAAAAACAGAAAATTGAATTTAATAATCTTACTGGATAAAACGGATGAAGATGGAAATTTTAAAACACTTTGATGAATGATGATCCCTCTAAAAAAGTATATTATTGTTTATAAATAAAATAAAATAAATATTGTTAATATAATAGTATAGCCATTAAATTCTATTTTAACATAAAATAAAGAATCTTTTAGTATGAACAGTAAAGATCATAATAATTTACAAATACAAACTTACGTGCATCAACAGCTTTGAATAATATTATAAGCAGAGAAACAATTATTAAAATATTTGATGTTAAATTATTCATTTAATGTATATATAAGAAAGATCGCGTGTACAACTTTAAGAAATAAAATTAATGAATTTGTTTAATATTATTATTATAATACAAGATAATAATAAATGTGCATTTTTGGCATCATTAAAAAAACCACTTTCAAAAAACACTTATTATTTATGCGTTAAAATTTAATGTTTATGGTGTAAATAGTAGTACGTAATTTATAGTGACTAATTAAAAAAACCGGCTAGTGTTCACGATTTTTAAAACAGCTATTAATATAGGCATGTGACTAATTTGGTAGTATAATAATAATAATTTTTGTCGACCAATCTATGCCCCAAAAATAAAAATAACAAACATTTTTATTAGTCAGAAAAACAGAAAATTGAATTTAATAATCTTACTGGATAAAACGGATGAAGATGGAAATTTTAAAACACTTTGATGAATGAAATATCAGGCCATTGAATGTACCTCCAAATTAAGGGTAGGGGAATCACGTGTCAATTTATATGTAGATCGGCGACTGAATATACAAGTTGCATAATAAAAAGTATGCAAAACACGTCCAAATTGGCTCAATTTTTCTATATGTAGATTATAAACCCCTTTAATTTCTTGTAAAATTTCAAACAAAATAATTTAGTAAAAGCTTTCAATTTCTTTGAAAATCATATATACTCATCCCATAGTAACTGATACTCATCCCTTAGTAAAAGGTATTATTTCTTTCGTATAAGCTATTCACTCCAAATTATTACTAGTCTAAAGTTACTTACTATTTAGTAAAGTTTCATTTACTTAGTAAAAGCTGCCTATTTCTCAGTATTACTTGGAGAAGTCTAGACATCACTTGTAATTTTTCTAATTTCTTATGTTTTATATGTAAAAAGAATATAGTGATAGTAAAGTTATAATTTAATAAAATTTTATTTATTCAGCATTTGAAAATGTCAAGTAAACATTTATATAAATAATTAACAGAAAATAATATTAATTATAAATTGTTCTTTCAACAAAATCAAACTGTTTTACTTATGATGATTCATATCAATTGAATGCAATGGAAGTACATCATAAATACAAAAAAGAATAAATTCATTTGATTATCTATTAACCTAAAAAATGGAACATGAATTACTAATTATCACTAGTTGAATTTATTGAATAATGTATCTTATTTTAATTGTAATTTTAGCAACCTTAATTGATTTTATTTATGATAATATATGCAAACATACATATGTATATAAAAAAAAAATCAATAACCAAAAACCCTCAATTTGTTGAAAAAAAAAAAAATATATGAATTTGCTAACAATATTTTAGTAGAAGTAAATATAATCAGTATAGTTGTTCAAATTAAAAATAAATAATCTACCTAATTTCTTACACTTATTTTTTTTTTTTTTTGATTTAGATCTAGTCTTTATACTAGATTTAACAACACCTTCTTTCTTTTTACCATATATAAATTTTATTAATAAAATAAATAATTTGTAAAAACAAATTTCAAATTAAAATTAAATTTTATTACTGCTTTTGTTCAGCATTATTATTATTATTATTTTCTTCATCGACATCATTAGCAGGATGTTTTCTGTTATTTGTAATCATGATTATAGCTATCTTTATTACCACCTATTGTGTAAATTTCTTACACCTATTTTTTTGATAGATCTAGTCTTTATACTAGATTTAACAACACCTTCTTTCTACTATTTACCATATATAAATTTTATTAATAAAATAAATAATTTGTAAAACAAATTTCAAAATTATAAGTTAAAATTTTATTACTGTGTTTTTGTTCAGCATTATTATTATTAACATTTTCTTCATCAACACAGCATCATCATTAGCAGGATGTTTTTGTTATTTGTAATCATGACAAGATTATAGCTATCTTTATTGTGTAAAAAAATTAGTGATATATACAATAATTTTCAAATGCAAATATTTATAATAATAAAAGAATAAATATTATATTATTTTCTTACTGTTGATAATATGGAATTTCAGCATTATTTTTCATAGAAAGTGGTATCTACACTCCCTAATGGATTACCTTTTATCATTTAAAAGTTCTCAAGCTCTTTTGATATCAAACTTGAATTATCAAGCAAATCAGAATGTAAAAAAATTAAA